AGAAAGTCTCAGAAGACAGGGCTGCCTGCACAGCTCTTCCCTTCTCTCCTGGCAGTCTGTGAGCAGCTGTGAAACACTTGGTGAAGTGGCTCCCCGGGGAGCTGTGAGCACTGTGGCGGACTGCAGCACTGGAAACGGGCCTCCCCTACTTTTTGTGGCGAGGGTCTTGTCATGGGGCACAGTGCTTAGCAGAGGCCCAGATATCATTGGACCCTGATGGCATTCCTCCAGTCAGGCCATGGGTAAGCACCGGTTAGTGGGGGTGCATGGCAGGCAGGGATGTTTCTAGAAGGCTTTCTAAAGGTGAAGCCAGTGACTTCAGATAGCACCTTCTGGGGCAAAGCATTAGGAGGACTTTTAGTATCAGCTTGTTGACACTCAGATACTTGGGAGCCAGCGACACTTCCTCCACCTGCCACACCCAAGCTGAGGGCTAGGGCCGCTTGCTGTAAGGCAATTCCCCGGCTCGGACCCCACATGGCCCACAGCGTGCAGGCTGCCCTGCTGGCCAGTGTCCTGTCTGTGTAGGAGAGGCAGGACAGGAGAATATGGGGTGGACCCGTGTACCCTGCTCTCCCAGCTTTTCTGACACTGCTCACAGACCCACCCTGCTCTGCGGGCACCCTGGCACTTGCCCGTTCTTACTGGGTTCTGGAAACCCAATCCCTGGCCCCGCCCCTCAGCCCTGAGGGTTGGGAGGCATCCTGCCAGTCTTGGGTTGCTTCAATATTCACTCTTGCCTCCTTTGCTCTGTCCTTACTCAACTCAAATGAAGACACTCATCACAGCAATCCCCAAGCTTTCTGTAAAACCCACACCAGACATTGGAGGCCTCAATCTGAGTAACGATGGCACATGCAGGACAGAAGACCATCCGCTTAGGGGGCCAGGCACTGATCCCACCACTCCACACAGGGGCCATTCTGGGTTCCTGCAATGGGCCTCCTGGGGCCCGGCTCACCCCGCTCTCTGCCTGCTCCTCCAGGCTAATCAGAAATGCCCAGTCAGAGGTGTGTGTGGCAGCAAAAGTGCCTCCAATCTAATGGGAACCCATCTTCAGAAAACAATGCTGACTCTAATGCCCACGGTTGTCAGCATTTCATTAGTCAAGCCTTCCTGGTGGTATTGGCATTTCCAAAGAAGTGCTTGGATGTCAGTCCTCATCTGGCCACTTTTTAGCTCTGTGACTAGGTAATGCTCAAGCTCTCTAGCATTTGGGTTCTTCATCTAAAAATGGGGTAACATTAAAATGTCTCTCACAAGTCTGGATGCCAGCTCCCACCACACACCAGTGCTCAGTGATGGCTGACCTGAATGGGGCTGGCTGTGTTGCTATCTAGATGGAAGGTCTCTGGGATAAGGAGGGGCTTCCGGGACACACACACTGCCATCCAGGAAGGCTGCCGGCAGACTGGCTCTGACGCAGCACCGTGCCACCAAACAGGGTGCCGTCTAGCACTGCTCACCCCTTCCAGGGAGTTTCTTTCATGTTAATCTTGAGAAGAAGTTGCCCACATGTGTGGGTTGCCTCCTCCAGGACTTCCCCAAGGTATTCCAGAGAACCGGGATCAAACTGGACTTAGCTAGGCCTGCCTGCCATGTGACCACCTTGCCCGCCTGCTCAGCTCACTGGTTCAGTACTTCAGCCTCCTACTTGTTAAACACAGCCCCTTACCCACACCTGCTCCATAGGCACCTGAGGAAGGCAGGTAGTGATAGCAGGCAGACGGCTGGGATGCAGCTCATTTTCGGAGTGATGAAAGCCAGCACCAAGTCAAGCAATGCTCCTCCTCATGCCTCACCTCTCCCTCGGCTGCCACATCAGTGCAGCTCAACACAGACCAAGCAGAATCAGAACATCTGACCTGCACATGACAAGCCTCTCTAGGGACTCCTGTTCTGAGGAAGTTCTGTGCCACTTGGGCCTCTGGTCACGAAGGGCACACCCTTTGCAAAGCAGAAGGTGACATTTCTTTAGTACAAATGTAGAGGTCTTTTTGATTTTTATTTTCCAAAAAGGCTCCCCAACAGGGCCTTGGGGAAACCCAGAGCCGAGCAGCAAAAGGCAAACCTGCTCACCAGAAAGTATGGTTCCTGTTTGTGCCATTTCTGGCCACTTCTGGGGGTGGGTGCATGAGGCTAAGGGGAAGACAATAGACGTACGTAGACCTCAAGGGAAGAGGGGCCAACACCACGCTGGTTGTGATGCTCCATTTGTGCATGCTGCTGGGTACGTGTGTGTCCTGGACGACTGAGCAGCTAAGTGGGAAGGCCACTGTACGCTGATGTGACCTCCTTGGGTCAAGCTATGCAAACGAGCAAATGGTGGGATTGGCATTGTTTCCAAAAGCTATCTCAATCTACATTATTCCTAGAAGGGACTGTTAGCTCAAAAAACCAACGCCTTCCCAACTCCCACCTAGTTTTCTTAAACAGGCCTTTGTACAAAAATCCCACACAAAAAGTTTTTTCTACCTCTAAATAAACTCCACATCACACTCAATTAGAATACTGAGCGGCTGAGTACTTTCAGTCACCTGTTAAAATAGCTTTTGGCACCAATTCTAATGACCTGAACTAGAAGCTTCAGGAACTACTAACTCTTTATGATCAACAGTTTGCATAGAGGTCTGCAGCCAAAATAAACCCCATTCGCAGATGTTCAAACATGCACTGGTAATTCTCCCCTGATGGAGAGACAGGCAGGGCACAATTGCAACCTTTAGTCAGATACTCAATAAGGTGGTTAAGCCTAAGGTGCAAAATAGAACACTAATTTTGATACTAGCTAAAATAATTATGCTGTTATTACAGTCACAGGTCTCTAGCGGGAGGGAAACGAGAGCGAAGTGTCAAGATAGCTCTGCATAATGAAACACAGTCAGAGTGTTACATGACTCCCTGAGCCTGGGCCGAGGAGCCCCTGCTAGATCCCAAGGGATGGAGGTGCTCAAGCCTCCCACAACAAGTCGAAGGCAGTTTTTCTTTTTTTCTCATTTCTCCCCTTTCTCTGGCAATACAAGGAAAGGGAAGAGGAACTTCCCTCTGAAGTCTTGGTGGTTTCTTGTTAAGTACATGTATAAATACAGCATGTTGAAAGCACATTCTTAATAAAATTATTAATAACTCAGAGTCAGGATGGGAGGAGCCGTCTAGTGGATCACAGAGCTTGACAGTGTGTTCCCCATTTCTATGGTGAGAGGCGGGTTTACAGAGCAGCCTTCGTGACCAACTCATGTTGTGCAACACAAGCTCTGCCTTTTCCCTGGGTGCCCAGGTACCTGAGCTCAACATGTCCCTTGAGTTGCAGACAGGACCCCCTGAAGGTTAAGAATTTCTCTAAAACACAACTCAAAACAATAAAACACAGCTGTGTGTATGCGTGTACACACACACACACACACACACACACACACGATTACTAGAATTTATAGGCTCTCACTAGAGTTCATAAGCTGTCTCTGCCTGAGTGATGTGAGCAGTTCCAGATGCTGAAAGTGGGGTTCCCTATTTAGACAAAAACTAAAAAGAACCAGAACCCAATACATTAAAGAAGCCACTAGTGGAAAACCACGCTCATGGAAAAGCAAAAATGCTATTGAGGGCTGTGAGGACACTCAAGGTTAATTAAGGTACTCTGAAAAACATGATTGAGGTCAAAGAATCACGTTGGGCAGAGAGGGTTTATCAACAGATACCTGAATGGAGTGAGCAGAAACCTGAATGGAATGGGGGTGAATGGAGTGAGTGAGCAGAAATCTGGATAGAGTGGAAGTGAGTGGAGTAAGTGAGCAGATACCTGGATGGAGTGGAGGTTAGAGCAGGTGACCCAGTTAAGTCACCTTCACTGTAGGCCATGGTTCTGAATTTCAGGCTGGAAAGGATCTGTGCAAAAGTAAATGACAGAAAAAAATAGCCTATGAAAACTTGCCTGTGCCACAACCATCTTGTTTCACAAATCAAGGCCCTGGGGCAGCAGCAGTCCATTGCTCCCCCATCTTAAGCGTGACCTAACCACTGGGCCTGACCAGGGCAGAGAAGAGGCCTCTGCCTCCAACATCTAGGCATAGTCACGACTATCTTTAAAAAAATTTTTTTAAATATGTTTTTATTGATTTCAGAGAGGGAGCGGGAGATAGAAACATCAATGATGAGAGAGAATCATTGACTGGCTGCCTCCTGCTAGCCCCTACTGGGGATCGAGCCCACAACCCAGGCATGTGCTCTTGACCAGAATGGAACCCAGGAACCTTCAGTTCGTAGGTCGATTCTCTATCCACTGGGTCAAACTGGTTGCAAGCCTGCTGAGTCAGAATAAACATTTATGCCACAAACTAATCAATGCCATGTCATCTCACCCATCAGGAGCTGCTACCAGATTAGCCCAACACAGCTCCAGTCCCCTGCCAGGAGCTTCCAAGCACTGGAAGCAGAAACTTGGAACACATGGCAAGGCGGGGCCCAGGCACAACTGCCTGTAGTTCAAGCCAAACCTGTACTTGAAGTAAAAAGTTACACCCCAGCACTCTCACCCCCCAAACTGGATTTAAACAAGGACAATGTAGGAAGTCAACTTAAATTGTTCCTGGAGCCAGTTTGTGGTTTTTCACATTAGAAGCTGGGGGTGGAATCAGAACCTGCGCTCAACAGCCTGCAGCAGTGCTGGGGGGCGAGGGAGGGGGGCACAGGGGAGTGGCTGGGCCATCTCTGTGGGAGAGGCAATCACTCCAGACTGCTGGCATTCAGTTCCCACCCTGTGCAGCAGCACACAGCTCCCGTCTCTGAACTTCTTGCTTTCATGGATGATTGACTTTTCTCCGACGGAGAAATTGGTTCACATTTCCTAGTGTCTGCTGTACTTCCCCCGGAGGAAAACAGCCTCTAAAATAAAATCAGCATCTGTGCTGGAGGAGCAGTCTCCGAACCTGCTTCATGGCCCTCCCAGGCAGGAACACGCACCGCCCATGCTTTAGCTAAGGAAGGATGCTCTGAACACAAAGTGAAATGTGGCTACGCTACCTTTTATTAATAAAAGTGTGTAGCTGTTGGTAAATGTCACCATGGAGAGAACATAAACCATGGGTAAGACGCACCAAGAGAGATATGCCAGCTGGGAGACTGAAGCACGTGACCAGAGGCTACAGTCAGGATGGCAGCAGGACTGTCGAGACTGCTGCCCAGGCACCAAGATTGTGGTCAAAGGCATCGCCGCAGCACTGGAATTAAGGCAAAAACATGTCCTCTCGCTAAGAGTGTCCTCAGTGCTCAACATGTAACAACACGATTACACAGGTACTCCATTTAAAACAACAGACAAGTTCACAGAAAAGTTCTGGACACTTAAACTCTAGGTTTTCTTTCTGGCAGCACCAGACTAAACTCGGTGGCTCTGCAGCATTTCCGACTTCAGGTGTGTTACAGTCTTCTGAGAAAGGCCCAGTACTTCAGAACGCCCGGTGTGGCTGTGGAGAAAGAACAGTGCTGGCAACAAATAGTAAGACAGCATTTCGGAACCTACAGGAATGTATTTTGATGCTCATAAGTGAACATACGTTTAAGCATTCAAACTGATATCTTCAATACTTTCTAGTTAACATATTTACATTTATTTTTGGTTTAAGGAAAAGTGTACTTCATAGGCAAATTATTTCATCTGTATGTGGGAGGTCCATGGCCACGTTTCTTATTGAACACCTGGGGCCTGTACGCCCGTAGAGTTGGGAGATGTCATTGTCCCAATCCCCCAAGAGCTCACCTGTGACACACCCTCTAAAGCACGGGAAACCTCTTACTCAGGCTCCTTGTGTGGCAGCATCAGAGAAAGAGTGCAGCACCTCCTTAGGGAGAAGCCAGGGATGGGTTTCCATTCCGTGGCTCTGCGCGCTGAAGCACTGGAGTTGTACAAAGGCTGGGGCACAGAAATGCTTGCAGCACGCCGGCATGCCCGCTGGCCCATGCTACAGCTGTAGGTGCTCTGCTGCCTGCTGGCCGTGGCCTGAATGTGGAATTTTACCCACCAGAAAGCATTACTGGAGCCCAATTAAGAAACTTTAAATAGCTCAGTGACATTGATGCTTTTCCCTTTGGCTTCAGAAAACAATTACGACCGAACATCTTTAACTATGAGGCAGAGTTGACTGGAACCACAAAAAACACCTTTTCAAAAAACATTTAATGAGGTAGCTGAGATCAAATATCAAATCCACAGCATACACAAGGGTGCTCAATAAGTGCACATTTAAAATTGTATTTTTAAATGCAAACTGCTACAATGCCTAATAAATGTTCTTTCTTCCCACTACCTAAAGGTATGAGCAAGCCTTTGGAAGGGCCCCTGGCAGAGAGAGACAGCAAGTGGTTGGGAGTCAGTGAAGCTGGAGGGAAGAGAAAGGCAGGGCATTCAGAGCATACAGCTTTGGCTGAATTGGTAGTGCTCCCCATGGAACTAAAATGCAGTGGGTGCCACAGAGAACAAATACCACACAGAACCTGGGGACATGATGGGCTCCAAGGGGACCTGACTTGAGGCAGCAGGAAGCCCAGGGCTGGGGCAGTCATTAAGTCTAGGCAATGGTCAGAACACTGACCGCCACCACCTTCCAAGGCCCCTGAAGCCATCTCAGAGGGAGTCTGGCTACCTGCTGCCCTGCCATGGCCACCTGCGCTCTGGGGGCGGCTGCCTTCAGCCACTGCCCAAGTTCTCAGTGCGTGTTCACAGACAAGGGCTGCTTCTGGCTGCACAGCTCTACAGACGCTGACAGGAAAGCCCTCACTTGGAGCTCTGGGCAAAGGGAAAGGGGGTGGTAGCAGCTGGCAGTGTGGACTGAGAGTGCTCGTCACTGTTCACACACTCACACATGCAAACAGACGCATGCAGACAGACACACACACACACACACACGTGCACACTGACCCTCAGAGGCAAGTGACAGTGTGGGCAGCGAGCAGCCTCCAGACAGTGCAGAAGTTTTGGGAAGACAGAGTGGAAGGGCCTGAGACAGGGCTGGGGAGGTCTTGGATAGGAACCTGGATCCACTTTCTTCGCCAGCCTCCCCTCCTGTCCTCCGAGGTGAGGTGGCACCCCACACACCAGGTCGCCTGGTGGAAAGGCAGGCACCAGATCGCAGTGTTAGGTCTCCGTAGGGTACTTGCTGTAGGCCAGAGGAGGCAGGGCCTGAAAGCTGCTCTCCCTCCAGGCGCCGGGCGGGGCCTCCGTGCGCCCCTGCTCTTTATATTTACCCAGAATGTTCCTGGCTTCTTCTGCATCCCTCAAAGGGCTCTCTCCATACTCCTCCTTCAGCCACTGCCGGTACTGAAGGAGTTGAAAAGAAAAGCAAACGTCACACACACACGGGCATGCATGTAAGACTTTTACGTGTTACATACAAACTGGCAAATACATGGGCATGGGCAGTCACAGCTCTGTGGTTGGCCAGGCAGTGTCAAAGAAGAGAAATTACTGCTTCTTCAGGTTTTGGCTTGAGGACATGAATGTCAGCCAAACCCAGAAAACAGTACTTGACCCCCAGAGAGAGAAATGAAGCACATGGGGCCCAAGGAAGATGGTAAAGGGTGGTATCCTGTGGCTGTGGCTGGTGAACAAGGGACCAGGGAGGACGTCATGTGGGGTTCAGGTAAGGTGTCCTTGGACCAGATGTCCTCTGTGGGCCTCTCCAACTTCAACCTCCATGCTTCCGGGGTGTGTGGAAAGACAGGCACCGTCCCAGGGTGTGCTGCGTACCTCCCGAGTCCCTGGAGCACAGTTACCTCATGGACTTCATGCTTCTCAAATTCCTGGAGCTGTCTCTGGAAGCCCAGGTTGGGGTTGGCACAGGACCTGCCTGCACGCACAGTGTGCAGGGCATCTTCCCAGCCAAAGTCAGTGACGGTCATGATGTACGCGATCACCAGCGTCACACTCCTGGAGACACCGGCCAGGCTGTGGGGCCAAGAGAATGGCCTGTGGGCAAGGAAGGTTTAGGGTCTGCAGTCTACCTTCTGATCCATTTGGAGCAAGTACTCTATGGACCTGATTCTAGAGTCTTCCTGCCTTGGATTGCGAGTGGACAGCAAGCCAACATGCTACCTGGAAATCCCTCAACCATGGACACAACCAGGCAGAGGACCTGAGAGCACACACACACGTGCTCTGAAATTCAGCCATGGTGTATACTCTGCGGGCAGTAAGGGTTACGTGTCTTTAGCAGGCTGAGTAGGGGACCTATTGTAAATACATATGCAAAGTAAGGTGGTCAAGGAAAGGCTGTGCTGCGTCAGATTTGGAGTGTTCTAGTAACGGTTTCTGATGGGGAAGTTTAGCACAATTCTCATTTTGAGAAAAGCCTATATTCAGATTTGCACAGCTGTATGAAATACAAATTCCTAGACTATGAGACCTACAGATAGTTAAATATAAATAATATTATCAATATGGTAATAACACTAATAAACCACTTTGATGTGATGTCTCTTCTGTAAGGCTTTATCTCAGAAATAATGAAAGCTTTTAAAAAATACATCTTCTCACCCTAACCAGTTTGGCTCAGTGGATAGTGTGTGGGCCTGTGGACTGAAGGGTCCCAGGTTCAATTCTGGTCAAGGGCATGTGCCTTGGTTGCGGGCACATCCCCAGTGGGGAGTGTGCAGGAGGCAGCTGGTTGATGTTTCTCTCTCATAGATGTTTCTAGCTCTCTATTCCTCCCCCTTCCTCTCTGTAAAAAAATCAATCAATATACTTTAAAAAATCATATTAGTACTTTGACTAGATCATGGTAAACTTAAGTAGCACAGTGATCCAAGCTGGAGCCACGGCCTTTACCAAAAAATACATCTTCTTGAGCTGCAACCTGGAACCCTAGAAGTCCAGGAAGAGAAAGGAGTTCAAAACTGCCCTTTAAATGGCTCCAACTGCACTCCCTAAGTGATACACACACGTGTGTGTGTGTGTGTGTGTGTGTGTGTGTGTGCATTTTTAGAGAGGAAGGGAGAGGGAGAGAGAGGTAGAATCATCAATGATGAGAGAGAATCACTGATTGGCTGCCTTCTATACACCCCCTACTGGGTGGGGATCAAGCCTGCAACGCAGTCATGTGTCCTTGACAGGAATCAAACCTGGGACCCTTAGGCCTGTAGGCTGACACTTTATCCACTGAGCCAAACCAGCTATGGCCCCAAAGAGCTTTAATGAAAAGGCAAACAATGCTACAAAACCCACCATTTGTATTTATACCATAAATACAATATACTCTTTTTAAAAGTAAAATAAATAAGCACTCTATTTCAAGAACTTTATAACATACTCTTTTTAAAAGTAAAATAAATAAGCACTCTATTTCAAGAACTTTATAAAACTGCAGAACACCCTTTTTAAGCAATCAAACTATCTATGTTTCTGCTCCCCCATGACAGGTCCCTGGCCCTTAGGACAAATGACAGTTCTCATGAAGGACCCCTATGGACACTGTGCACTGGACTCCCTCTGCCACCAGGGCTGCCCCCCACTTCGGCAGTGGCACGCCCAGTGGCGCCAGTGTATTTCCAGAGAGCTTCACTGCAACAGGGACTCGAGCTGCTGGCCAACATCGAGCCTCATTCAAGGCGGAGAGGCAGGTACTCAGCCTGCACTCTGACACTGAGCATGGCTCCAGGCTTTGGCTGCTGGCTCCCATACCGGATAGTGATGCTGCCGGAGGAAGACAGGAGAATGAGGGAGGGAAGTGAGAGCCGACACTCTGGGAGAGCTCACTTTGCGCCAGGCTCCGTGTGCTGTCCTTCAGCTCCACCTGTCCCAGTCCCTTCCTCTGCAGTACATATATACATGCATGTATATGTATGTGTACCTACATCCACACCCAGAATCCAGGGGCACAGCTGTATGTAACTGCTTAATTCTAAGTCTATTCAGATCCTTTCAAAGCCAAACACACACAAAGTCCCAACCTAGATGGAGAGAGAGCCGCCACTCTGGTGCTACGGTGACGCAGTACTACAGTGATGCGGTGCTACCACCACACACGCAATCACAGCTCTGCGGAAGGAACTGTGCTCTGAAAGACCCTGAGGGCTCAGGAACAAACCTACAGTCCGTGCCCTCCATGGAGGCTGCTCTGACAGAATGGCAGAGGTTGGCCACAAAGGCTCTGCTGTCCAGGGGCCTGACAGTCCCTACAGAAGTCCTACTTGTGAAGATGAAAAACCTGTTTTAGGGTTCTCTCTCAACGAAGGCCAACGGTGTTGAACAAAGAGGAGACTCAAGTGGGGTATGTGTCTGAGGTTTCGAGGGAGGAAAAAAACCATTAGGAGATGAAATAATTAACTGCACACAGGGAAGCCCTGAGAATCGACCAAGCTGAACGGCTTTCAGGCAAGAGGCATACATACCAGTGGACAAGACAGCCCTCTCCCCGGAGCCGGCACTCGTGAATGAATTTAATACTTTCTTTGAAATGTCTTGTCCTGAGGGGAGAAAAAGAGAGAAGTGACATTCATTTACTCAACACATGGTAAAAAGTCCACCTGAGGTTTGTTAGAAGGTCTCGGCCACTCAGTCGGGCAGAGCTGCCTGCGTGTCAGCGCCCATCACACGCCCCAAGGCCTGGGGAGCTGAGGCCTGGGGGCTGCCCACATCTGGGCTGCTTGGATTTGTCTACTGCCACTGACTGGTGTCATGGTGGGTGGCTTTTGCCCAGCCCACGGTCAGTCTGGCCCCCTGATGTTCGGCAGCACATCGGTAACCCTACAGCCACTTTGGTGAGGAAGGTGCCCACGTTATGCAGGCTCCCTAAGTCCAAAAAGCTAGTTTACTTCTGACACTCTGAACAACCACTAAGTCTTCCACACCGGCCTCCTCCTGTCCCGTCTGTGTGACAGGAGAGCTGTGTGGAAATGACAACTGCAGCTCCAACGCCTACCCACTCAGTAGCTCAGTGGCTGCGTGGCCTCAGGAAAGCCCCGTGGCTCCCCTTAACCTCTGCTGTAGTGGGAATAATGTTTTACATGCCAACATGCTCCATGGATTCTAAAGTTCTCTAGGACAATAATCCACGACCCTCACTTCTGACTCTCAGCTTTGCTGCCATGTGTCTAGTCAGAATGGGAAATCCAGGTATGATGCGATGATCACCATAGGCACTGACTGCAGAGAAGTTCTGTAGTGTTAAGTTCAGGTGCCTAGCCGCTCTGGGACAGGCATAAATCTGCAAAGTGACTCAGGGCATTGCAACTCTACTCCCAAAGACTGGCTTGGTGTAAATTGGGCAAGAAACGATTCCTGATGGAATCCTGACATCTGAGTGTTAGTGCTAAGAGTCCTTAGAGTGGGGTGTGGAGCCATGAAACTGTGTGGAGGGGTGTAAGCACGGGGTGAGTCCAGCTCGAAGGCCAGGTGCTGCAAGCAGGTGAGGGCTCGGTGCTCAGTCTCCCATTTCTCAAACCCAGCAATGGGGAGCATGCAGTGAAACCCTCTGGCTCTGCAGGTGGCGGAGCATGTTCGGCTGCACTGACTTCACTGGGGCAGCAGCAAGCTCAGTCTTCAGAATCCCCTATTCTCTTCAGTTCTGGCCTGAGAAGTAAAGGAAAAGCTTGGCTGGGGATTTCTGGGAAAGTTTTCCTTCTGATGAAAGGAAAGCTATCTCTGCCCGAGGCTTCCTGCCAGGGCACTGGAAGTGAGCACTCTGCCTAGAACTGCATCAGTCGCCTGGGACCACAGGTGACAGGCCTCCGAGTGGAAGGGTAGCAGGGTGGATAGGGGGACATCAAGGTGTTGCTGCCTAGGCCTGGGAGCATCCATTTTCAGACTTCTGGGTCAAGGAGTTAAGTAATAAATGTCTTTATAACTTAAAACACTGTCAATCAGATATTCTATTACCTACAATCAAATACAATCTTCCTGATATCAGCAACTAATTCAACAGTTTTAAACACATGGAGCCAACTCTTCTGGCTTAGGAGTGGCTACAGGCTGCTGTCTGCAATCGGCTTTGTGGTTTACACAGTGTGACCTGTCCTCCTCTGGGGGCCACTGCATAGGGGAGACGGGACAGGGGTAAGTGGGTCTGACTGTATATCCGAGCCGGACAGCCAGCCCAGAAACCAGGCCCACCCCTGACTAGAGGCTAGTGGCCAGGGGTGCAGCTAGAGTGTGCATGCCTTTGTCACCAGGCCAGCCACACTAGGACATCCAGGGGATCTGGAAAAGCCTCCCAGGCCACAGCCTGTGGTACAGCCTATCCTTTGTGGGAGAGCTGCATCCGGGATAAGATAGCAGGGAAGAAGAAGGCAACCAAAAAGAGAAGAGCACACCTAGGAATAAATGATGACTGCCTTAGTGCATAAACCACAGACTGCCTGGGAGCACTGCAAAAGCATCCAGTGACACAGGAGCTAACAGTGCTCCACCAGGCGGGCAGGACTTGCTGTCTGGGGACAGGGTCGGTGCTGTGGCAATCACCAAGATCTTGCAAAGATGACACATGAATCCTTTTGCTGAAATTTCGGAGTGGGAACATCTTATGTCCAGTTTTTATACTTGCACATCCCAAACTATGTGCACAATGGAACCTAGGTCTTAAGCAGTGTGGAGTGTATCTGGGTTCAAGAGCAGCCTTGCCACATCTCAGAATAAGAGGTGGGGGGGTGGGGGTGGTCAGGAGGGCAAATCTAAGCTTGCCATGGCCTAGAGACAGTGTGTAAAGGAACTGAGGGGCCGAGGACGGGCCCTCACTCTGCCCCTACCAGACCCTTACTCCTCCAGCTCTAACTGCATCCAGTGCAAGTGCAAATGAGCCCATGAGGGCTCCTGTGCACCCTGCAGAGGCCAGAGTGCCTGGCCCAGGGGTGCAGCTATGCCAACAAAGTGCCTGCTCAGAGCCCTGCCAGGAAACTTGACTCATGACACTTTAGGCATGAGGCCAAGCCAGGCAGGCATTCCTAGAAATACCTTTTCCAAGAAAAGCCAGGAGGCAGGCGTGCTCACTACTGCTTTGGTGTGTTGCAGGGAGTGGGGGGGTTATTTCCAGGGAAGCTAATGACATAAGCCCAAGCCCTGGCCATTAAACACCCTCCTCCACAGTGGGAAATACCCACGACTCTGGTTCTGATATTGCTCCACCCTCTGACTGAAGCAGAAGCATAGCCTGAGGCACCATCACACCACAAACTGCTTCCATAAACACAGGTTCCCTATTCCTGCTCCTCATTGAGTATTTGCTTCCACACATTCTGTAATAAGCAAGCCAGCCTGCTGGTTCAGAAGGAAAGCACAGTCTGCAAGTGTTCCAAAAATGCCGCTGCCACTGACACTCAGAGAGGGAACTCCTGGGCCACGTGTGTTCCACACTCACCCAATAATGCTGCTGCTGCTGACACCCAGAGGGAACCCCTGGGCCATGTGTGTTCCACACTCACCCAATAATGCTGCTGCTGCTGGTGACCACCCAGAGGGAACCCACTGGGCAGGCAGGGGGCACTTCAGCAGAGATATCCTTCATGGGGCTCAGCAAACAGCCCCACAGCTGTATTGCCCAGGTGCCCTTCCTCATCTTCCTCCTCAATCTGTGCTAGCCTCCTTGTGGACCAGTACATCCCCAACCCCTCCTTCTCCATCCAGAGACAAGAACCAGGGCCAGCCATGCTTTCCTGACCTCCAGAGAGCAGCCAAGCAACACCATATGGTGTTCATCTTCGTACTCCAAGACTACAAGTCTTGGTCGCTGTGATCCCCCTGTGGGCATGAAGAGTCCTGTCCTGTGAGGACCCCGCCTCCGTGAGCTGAAGCCTAGAAATGGCCCAGCACCCTGATGGCAGCTGGGCTTACTCACAGCAGCCATACAGACAGCAAAGCCACGAATTTTTGTGCACCAGGCCACTAGTATATAATTTATTTTTGCTAATAGCTATTCTTTGTGGTTTTGATTTGCATTTCCTTAATAATTAGTGATGTTGAATATCCATATAATAAAAGACTAATATGCAAATTGTCCCCTCTACTGGAAGTTCCAACTGGGAGTTTGACCAGGGGATGGGGCCGGCCCACCAACTGCTCTTGGCCCCTCCCCCTGGCTGGCCCCACCCCCAATTGCCTCCCAGACACCACCCAAATTCATGCACCAGGCCTCTAGTCTTTTCATAAGTTCCAACTGGGAGTTTGACCAGGGGATGGGGCCGGCCCACCAACTGCTCTTGGCCCCTCCCCCTGGCTGGCCCCACCCCCAATTGCCTCCCAGACACCACCCAAATTCATGCACCAGGCCTCTAGTCTTTTCATATGTCTTTTAGTCATTTGTATTTCCTCTTTGAAAAGATGTCTATTCAGATCCTGTGCCCATTTTTCAATCAGATTAGCTATACCTTACTTTTCATTCTGGAAAATAAGGTTATTTTATTTTTATATTATTATTTTTTAAATATATTCTTATTGATTTCAGAGAGGAAGGGAAAGGGAGAGAGAGAGATAGAAACATTAATGATGAAAGAGAATCATTAATCATTTGCCTCCTGCATGCCCCACACTGGGGATTGAGCCTGCAACCTGGGCATGTGCCCTGGTGGGGAATTGAACCATGATCTCCTGGTTCTTAGGTTGACACTCAACCAACTGAGCCACACCGGCTGGGAAAATAAAAGCAATCTAAAAAAACCCAACACACCCAAGAAAAAAACAAAACCCCTCGTTACCATCACAAAGAATAGTTCAACACTACAAACACTAGAAAGACATAGTCTAAGACTAAAAAATAGTTCAAGTTAAAGCCTTATGAAAAATGCAATACACACTTTCCACATATTTCCCTTTCCTATAGACTGCAATGTCCTTAGGAGCCATGTGTGAGCACGTGTGTATAAGTTCTCATCTGTGTATGCATCTGTTTGGAAGGGCCATCAAGGGCCAGCTAGCTCTGATCTTGCAAAATTGTTTTTTAAATAATGAAAATAAAGAAAAATGTAAATAGGAGAGAGTACAGAGGACATCAGCTACACTAAATAAAAATACACAAAAAGACAGGGAGGTAGAATGAGGCAAGAAAGTTTTATTGAATTGTTAAATATCAGCTCTCTGTACTCTAATGCCTCTTCTCTTCAGGAGAACCTCAAGCAGTTTAGAGATCTGTTTGATTCCCCAACCCCGGGATGTCATGAAGGCTTTACGATAATGAGACAATGTTGCCGACTCCCCAGCCCAGACCAAGCTCCTGCATTTGACCGAAGGAAAAGATGAAAAATAAGAGTTATACCCTAATGATGTCTACATATAAATTGCCAACTTAATAAACATTAAAATAAGAATGAACAAAATAAGCTGCTATACATCTAACCACTAACTTTCAAAGTACATTATCACTCCTTACTTGAATACACAGAAATTAAAATCTTATCTTTGCAGATGCTTAGTGCTCATAAACACTTCTACTTATCTCACCTAATACTATAAATATTGTGTGAGATAGTTATTTTACAGTGAGAGAAGTAAGATTAAAACAGCTTCCCTACGAAAGCACAGAGAGAAAGCAAAAGCAAATATTTCCAAAACCTTAAGTCACCAACCCATCTCCATCAGCCGCTCGTAGAACATGCAGCTGTGCAGTTGATACAAACTCCAGGATGTCCCTAACTGTAACAAGTCAAGCAAAGTGGGCAGCCTGGATCTGGGGGATTATCGCCACTATGAGAATCTGAATTTTCATGTGCCTTGACTTTGCAAGGCAAGGTGGTTGGGGAAACAGCTAAAATCTTAATGCAGTGGTTCTCAACCTTCCTAATGCCGCGACCCTTTAATACAGTTCCTCATGCTGTGGTGACCCTCAACCATAAAATTATTTTCGTTGCTACTTCATAACTGTAATTTTGCTACTGTTATGAATCGTAATGTAAATATCTGATATGTAGGATGTATTTAGGCGTCCCCTGTGAAAGGATCATTTGACCCCCAAAAGGGGTCGCGGCCCACAGGTTGAGAACTACTGTCTTAATGTGTTAATGTTATCTCAAACCAGGTTTCTGCATATCAAGTTCCTGGGAGATCAGATGGGGAGTTAGTGAGTACTGAGGCCAAAATAGAGAATTGACCTTTCTGGGCAGCGGGTTTGCAGCAACTGAATACCAAGTGACAGCAATGTTTCAAAGATCAAAATTAGCAGAAGAATTCCTGTGGGTATAGAAATCTGTGGGTAAAGATTTAGGACATAAAACCTTAAGTTATATTCAAAGCTGGAAATAATTTTTAAAATACATAAGTTTAAAACAATAAGCAATACAGTTTTCTAGAATTTATTTTGTCATTAAATATAGGGACTCTCACCCTGGGTGGTGTGGCTCAGTTAGTTGAGCATTGTTCCATGCACCCAAAGTCACCTATTCAATTTCTGGTGAGGGCACCAGGTTGCAGGTTCAATCCCCAGTCGGGTCATGTACAGGAGGCAGCCAAAGAATGTTTCTCTTTCACATTGATGATTCTTTCTCTCCCCCTTCTCCTTTTCCCTAAAATCAATTAAAATATTTAAAAACTTACCAGTCTTGGTTATTAGGCATTATTACTATTACAATATCCTTTATAGAAAGGAAAAAAAAAATATAGGAACTCTCAGGCATCATAAATTACAAGTGGCTGCACTAAAGAACTACCAGTTCTAATTGGGTTACCCAGAGACAGGATTCCTCTCTCTTTTGTTAGCAAGAGCATTAAGATTATTTATCTTCTGACCACCCACAATGGTTGATCATACAGAAATGAAGGTTCACTCTAGCCTTCAAATGTTCCTAATATTTACAGGCTACACAAAATGAGATAGGTCATATTGACAGTCAACTATTCCGCCTGCAATAGTAAGTTTGTAGTCTGCTTATATTCTGAAAGCATGCTTCCGTTTAGAACAGCGGTCGCCAACCGGTGGTTCGTGGACCACTGGTGGTCCATGAGGTCCAAAAGGTTGGCGACCACTGGTTTAAGGAAATTTTTGGAGTAGCAGTCCCCAACCAGTGGTCCGTGAACCACTGGTAGTCCATGAGGTCCAAAAGGTTGGCAATCGCTGGTTTAGAAGGCATGCGATGCTTTCCAATAAAACATTTGTAACAGGTAAAGAGAAAAGCTATTTCATAGGTTGTCTTAACATACAAGGCATGCTCAAAGTTCAGCTTAACTCCATATTCTACATTTAATTTTGGTAGAACAAGAAAAACTTATAGAATCATGCCCAAAACCTTACTATGCGTAAGCGTTGCTATTACAAAGGATTTCAAAATAAGTTTCCCTAAAGAACCACACAAATGCCTATATGCCTAACGCCCAGCAGCAGAGTGCCAGTTTTTCTGCCTTTTGGTGAACTATGGTCTGGCCTTAGCTTTTTAATTGCAATAGAGGTTGTGCTCTGCTAAGACTTCACTCCAACAGCAGCAATGTGCATTCTCTGCAGTTCTATCATTAGCCCCAAACATGGATGCTGCAATAACTCCCAACTGCAAACTCCTCTCCTACACTACGCTTTCATCCAAATACAAGGAGAGGGTTAAAGAGGCAAACCACACATATTGTAACAACATCGTTGTACATATTTGGCACAGATAAGAACTCACTCAAATCTTATAGGTTAGTCCTCTGGCTCCACGATGATGGTGATTGGGCTGATTTTGCCAGAAGCAGCTGCATCCCCCTCCTGTCACCTGATCTTTCCACAAGCACACCTTCCAAGGAAATGAAGCAGGCCGCCTGAACACCGAAACTTATTTTCAACTACTTTTTCTGTAATTCCCAAGACACAGTAATATCCTCTTATTTTCAAAAGTGCTTAGAGTTCATAGAAAACACTTCCACATATATGATCTCACCTCCAAAATCCTAAAGGCAGGCCTTTTTCAGATGAAAGAACTGACTTGCCCAAGGTATTTGAAACTTGTTTTAAAGTTGAGATCTCCAATTTTGGGTCTACTGCTCACTTGTCCACATAGCACAGGACACTCACTACTCCACCTTTACGTGGAAAGTCAGGGTCCTGTCCTGGCAAGCCCAGAGATTCACAACTGCGCTGAGAACCCTGCAGGGCAGCGCAAAGTGCACGTGGTCATGTGTCCTAACAGCAAATGCCCAGATGTGCTACAGTTTGATTCTTCCGAAGAGTCAGAGAGCCAATTAGGTATTGACAAATTCAAGAGTATGTCAGAATCTCAGTTTGAGATAAGAGCAAAGCAACCATTCTAAAAATAGCCACCAAAATACAGGCAGAAGATTGCTGTGGGCTCAGAGAAAGGCAGTGGCTCACTTCCTTCCGTACATACCATGCCCTCCCAACCACTTCTGTTTCTTGGCACAACTCATAACCAAGGAAGTTCTCTAAAGCATCTTCCCCGCCCTCCAGACCTAAGCTACTACTGTTTTCCTAGTGATCTTAGTAAAATCCTTTCTCCATCAATCTTAAAGATTGACTTTTCCTAGGAAATGTGGAGAGTCACTTTGAAAACATGAGCCCTGGGTAGAATGTATTTGCCCCCACTTCCATCTACCCCTGCCCTTTCCTGATCTACCACCTGTGCCTTGACCTATCCCTCTCATCCTTCCCCACATCAATCTGTCTGCATCTAGCCCCATTTTTTTTCTCAAACAGGTAGACTGCACAAAATTACTGCCTAGCCTGTGATTTCTCTTCTCTGCAGCAGTGAAAAATCAAGTTTGGTTAGTGTCCCATTTTGATAGCTTTTAGAGAGGCTAGATACTTGGGATCCTACATGTAAAATTCTGCAGTCTGTACTTCTGATATGTAGGATTTGCAGGCAATAGAATGTGAGAATCACAAGGGATGTGTCCCGACAAGTCTATGGAATCCCAAATGTACAACACTACCATAGCTTTTAACTTTCCTGATGAAAAGAAGTAATATGTAATTCTAGGAGTGTTATTGTATCTGACCTCCAATAACAGCAGAAGGTCAGCCTGAGAGGCAGAGGTTGGTGTCTGTGAGTGCACTGAATGGTTAATACTTTACTTCGGCCCCTAGCCTCTCAGCCTGCTAGGTTCAAATCCATGTTTCAGTAAAACTTTATTCCCTGCCATGGCCTTTCTCTATCACTTCTGGAAACTAAAGAGTGTGAACGTTAGAGCCATAACTGCAGTGGGTCTCCAGAGACATGTCCTCCATTCTACCAAAGCCTACTCCTACGGGTCTCCATATAATGGCCGTTGATCTGGAAAAGATAGCAAGGACACATTTCTCTTTATAGAGACAAAACCATGTCAAAGATGTATTCAACTATGAAGAAACAGAGGGCTGGACTTTCCTAAACCAGGAAGATCTGTTCACTGGACTCGGACAGACTTTACAAATACACTGTGCCACAGAGTGTCCATTAGCCACATGTGGCCGTGGAGTACTTGACATAAAGCTGATCCGAACTGAGATGTGCTGGCATTGTAAAGAAAGCCTGCTTGATTTTGAAGACTTAGTATGAAAAAAAGGATGTAAAATATCTCATTTAAAAATACTTAGCACATGGTTGAAATGGAAGTATTTTGGATATACTATTGTAAATAAAACATTACTAAAATTTTTATCACTGATTCCTTTTTACTTTTTTAATATGCCTCCCAGCAAACTCAAAATTCTAAGTGTGACTGCATTGTGCTTACAGTCTATTTCTATTGGATGTGTTACTTTACACAAAACCCACAGCTCCTGGAAGGGTTTGCTCTAGAGAAAGGATGAGCATCCTAATGGTTCGATCTGAGGTCCTCTTTTTAAAAACCAGACTCTTCTTAGAGACGGCTCATCAGTTACTGTACAGACCACCAGCAAACCAAGCTCGCCTCTGGCTCCAGGCTGCCCCACTGGGCAGCTCACACCTGCGTGGGCCTCACCTCCTCTCTGATGAGGCAGCAGCTGTGCACAGCAGCAAGGGTTCGTGGCCCCAAGACTCTACTCTCCTTTAGGTATTTGATGTTGCAGTCCTTTAGCCATTTTTAATATCCCCAAATAATACAGAAGAAAAACAACTTACAGGTTTTGAGATGGTGAATCCGCTGCTGGAATGCACAGGTATTTAACCCCCTGTAGAATGATAAAAAATAAAAGGTAATACCCAGTATAGAAAAATATTTGAAGGAACTATTTACTAAGGTCAAAAAAATAAAAAGGAGAAGTTTGTCACTCATCTTTTGTTGCCAAGGAACTGGGGAAAACTCTTTAATTAAGGTTCCTGATTATTTTCCATGACTGTGTATACAAATGTTCATGCTCTGGTTTGGAAACAGCTTGTAGACAGGGGGCATCAAAAAGTGAAACAACTAGGCACTTCCCAGTAAGTGGTACAAATCCCAGAGCCCTCACCTCAGATGCTCGTTTACATGTTCCACATTTTTATCAATTTTATTTAGGATCCACTGGTAGTAAAAACCTTAACATGATATCTAAAAATTGTAACATTATGGTACGGTTTCTTTATCAAATTTAGTATGAAGAGATTTCAATTTCACTGATGTACCTACATGATAGGAGTTTCTACACAAGGGAAGTAATGTGATTTACTATGTCTCCTTTCTAGAAAAGCAAAACTTATTTACTAAACAGGTTTTTTTAAAAAAAATAGTTTGAAAAAACAAACTTCATATAAAATTTATTAAAAGTCTATAAAATTTTTTATGTCAATTCATGCTGCATAAAAATCAGGTTAAATTTCAGTTTTATTAAATTTTAGTTGTTTCTTCGTCAGAAGGACTTATAGCTTAAAAGATCTTCAGTGTCAAGTGAAAATACAAAGACTAGATGTCTCAGCAACCTTGGCTTCATAAAGGCTTAAATGGACCATTTTTAAGCCTCCTCTCTGGTAGCCTAACCTCATGGACTCTTGCCATTGTGTCATGAGAAATAAGTGTCTGGGAATACATCAGTAACTGGAACAAAAACCAATGTAAGAGAGTAAATGAAGGACAAGCATGTAGGATAGTTTAGACAACTATAGTTCCCTCAGCAGACAAAGTCATAAAATAACGTCTTCTAGGACTTTTGAAAAGTTTGCAGTTGTCTGTTAAAATTTTACTATTAATTCCTGTCATTAGGAATATCTATGCTGTACTTGCTAATGTAGTCTTGTAAGGAACACCTAAATTTGTGGCTGGCCCAAACCCCGTCACAGCTCCACGTTTAAAAAAATCTATCTATCTATCTATCTATCTATCTATCTATCGTCTATCTATATTTGTATTGATTTCAAAGAGGAAGGGAGAGAGAGACAGAAACATCAGTGAGGAGAGAGAATCACTGATCCGTTGCCTCTTGCATACACACCCTCCCCCGCCAACTGGGGATCAAGCTCGAAACCTGGGCATGTGCCCCCACCAAATCAAACCATGATCTCCTGGTTCATAGTCAACACTCAACCTCTGAACCTCATTAGTTGGGCTCCACGTTTTTTTTTAAATCTTCACCTGAGGACATGTTTATTGATGAGAGAGAAAAAAAGAGAGAGACAGACATTGATAACATTGATTGGTTGCCTCCCTTAAAGATCCCGACTGGGGATTGAACCCAAAACCTAGGTATGTTTGCCTCTTGCATACACACCCTCCCCCGCCAACTGGGGATCAAGCTCGAAACCTGGGCATGTGCCCCCACCAAATCAAACCATGATCTCCTGGTTCATAGTCAACACTCAACCTCTGAACCTCATTAGTTGGGCTCCACGTTTTTTTTTAAATCTTCACCTGAGGACATGTTTATTGATGAGAGAGAAAAAAAGAGAGAGACAGACATTGATAACATTGATTGGTTGCCTCCCTTAAAGATCCCGACTGGGGATTGAACCCAAAACCTAGGTATGTGCCCAGACCGGTAATTGAACCTGCAAACTTTTGGTACATGGCACAATGTTCCAACCAACTGAGCCAACCCAGCCAGGGAACAGTTCCACATTTTGATGCTCCCTTACATAGTGAACCCCACTTTCTCAATACAGAGTCCACACCAACTACTTTTTTCATCTTCCTTTGCTTTTAGGGTTCCATCATCTGACAAACCCACACCAGGCAGATCTGGAAACAGGACATGGGAAGAGTAGAATGGGTAAAGAGCACCTGGTGGCACGAGAAGTCTGTATAAACCTAAAATTATCCTAGTAGCAGATGGTGGCAGAGGCGGCAGCAGACCTCACTGGGCCAGTTGTATGATGTGGTCTGGGAATTGTTCCGGGAATTTCAGCTGAAATCCTATTTCTCCAGCTCCTCTGAGGAGACCATAAATAAGCTCTCAACAAACCCCTTCCTGCTAATCTGCCACGAAGACACAAGTAAGAGAATTCCCCTTCCTGTCTCCTTTTATGAGAGTCTAGAAAAAAAAACCTCATTTCCCTACTTAGTTCCCAAACATGTATTTTTTCCAGCTTTGAGTCAATCATTACATCTCCCAACAAAGGGTCTTTTGGGCCTTGAAGAAGACACATTTTATCACTGCTTGTCCAGATGGGAGCACTGTATGTGAGATCGCACAGGCTTTAATGCACCAAGGATAAAAATTAAGGATCAGCTGCCAGAAGAAAGCGAACCAGCAGATTATTCCTCCTTTACATCTTGCTTTGTCGTCCTCAATTGCCCCCTCTGTCTCCGTTTTCCTGGATGCAGTGTTGTACTCTTCTGGAAGGACTGAGACAGTTGTCTGAAGTTCCAAAGCACCTCCAAAATCAGACAGGTATTGGCGCAGTGATTTAAAGGGAAAGAAAATGGGATGGATATTATACTGTGAAAAAAAAGTCATTTCACTCCTTCTGTCCATAGAAGCCAAACAAACTTGTTCGTGTAGATCACACACTGATCATTTCATACATCCACCACTGAAATGACTCACTTTTTTTTCTTAAAGTGAGAGTTGGCCATGGATCAGGCCCAGAAGCTTGTGAAATTCTTTCCTCCAGACACTTCCTCCAACCTCTTTCAGAATACTTCCAGAGGGATGAGAGGATTTTCAGGTTCCCACCTTCCCTTCCATTGTGATCATCAGTCCAAGCAACATAAATTAATCAAGGACGCTGAGATGGTTCCCCTCACAGAGAGTGAAGATGCTTGCCTGTCACACATGCTGACGGACAGCCACTTGATTCTAAAATCTAAAATCTAGAATCTGAAGTCAGCATAGTCCATATATTGGAGGAAAGAAAAAATGAAGGAAAGGAAGAAAGTGGCAAGAAGCGGAGGTTAAAAAACTCTTAGCTTATTTAGAGCATTAAATGCCAACAGCAATGTGGTTAGAAAGCACTGTGCTTCCTTTAGGCATAATGTACAAGGAAAGGAGGCCAGCCCCACAAGGCAGGAAAATGACAAAGGGGACCCCTTCCTTCCTGAGCTACAGCAGATGAGAGGGACAAGGCAACTCTGGAGGAGGCCACTTTGGTCTGTGGTGTACCCCTCCCCTTCCTTCACTAGCTGGGATTGAGATGCGGCATGTACAGCTTCCCATCTGTGAAGCTTCTAAGGAAGAACACAATAGCTCTCGGCCATGAGTTTGGGGATCCCATACTGTTAAGGCAGGACAGAGAAAATATAAAACATAAGGTAGGATCTCTCAAAGATACAACACTAACCTTCCCTGGAATGGTGCCTGACACATAGTAGGTAGGCACTCACTAAATGTCTGTTGATGATGAAAACAAGGCGAAAAACTGCTAACATAAAGATCACACTACAAGAAGTGCAGGGGAAGGAAAACGTTGTCAGGCACCCATGCCTTATCCCTGTGAGCATGGAAACCATGCCGAACCTGCAGCCACGCTGCGCAAGGGCACACTGCATGACTCTGCAGACTCCGATCTCCTGCCTGCCTGCTCCTGTGGGACAGGCTAAGATGCATCTCACTGTGATCTACAATGAGAAGGGAACAACCTATGCAAATGAGTAAAGAAAGGAGTCAAAACTGTCGAAATGCTCAGCTGCTTGTCCCCAAGACCATCTATTTATCTTGGCTTAGTCATTAACAAAGCACAGAAAGTATCTCTCTTGGAGGCCACAGGCTACAGAACATCAAGTACCTGAAAAAGGCTTTGGATGCCTGCACATGTGTACAGTTCATAGCCGTTAATTACTAATTCAGAAAGCTGCAGGAGTGGGGCAGCACGAGAAGACTGGATAAACCTAAAATTATCCTAGTAGCAACAGACCTGGCTCTGCAAATGTCATACGGAATTGATTTTCCTTTTAATTGGACCTATATAAGACCATTCTCTAGTACTGAGGTCCATAGAGACAGAGATAAGGGACAGGATATCCTATGTATGTCTGCAGCTAAATTATGGAAAGTATATCAAACTTAAAGTAAAACAAAAGAATATAAACATTCTAGAACAATCTGAAAAAAAATCGTAAGTTCTAAAAATAGCAGCATTACCATTAGCATAGCATTTTAGGTATTTACTACTTCACATTACCTCTAATGTTTAAAAAATACATAAAGCTAAAATTGATTATCTCCTTTTTAAAAGAAAATTCTTACTAAATAAATAAAAACCCAGTACTTTCCATGATGTTTCAAAAAATGGTTGGTGGAAAGCCAATTAATATTAAACTTTTATGGAGCTAATAAATGTCACATTACAGATTTTCAGTTCAGACAGCTGGCCCAAGACTGCACTATAATACAGAACTTCCCCTCCCCGCCCCCGCCCCCCTCCCAAAAACTGAGTCTATGCATTAAGACTCTCATGATTTCTATGAAGGAAAAGAAAGAGCAGCTCCTTTCTTTTGGCAACTTAAATGGCCTAACATGTTCAGAGCGTGGCCTAAGAGGGGGCTAGGGAAAGGATAAAGGCAGAGAATTCTAGAAAAGCTCTTATCTACACTGACCACAAACATAGGGAATATTCATAATACCAAGGAACATACCAACCAGCATACATAATGTAGAAAAGATTAGGAAAACACAGGACAGTAAGAGTCACGTGAGATCTGCCCAGTAAACCTCTTGGATCAAGTTTTTGTATTGGGCTTTGAAAGAAACATCAGACATCAGTGGCTGAGAGTAGTTTTAGAAAGTATCTCAGAGGCTCTTGAACAAAAGGTTAAAGCTTT